TCGGCAACGGTTTCAGTTCGCCGAAGGGGACTCGAGATCGACCCTTGTTACGGTGGCAAACTGCACATGACTCAACGTACCTTGTGACGGCATGAAGGACGTCGGGCCAGTGAAAACGCTTGCGGAGGCGTGCTAATGTGCGGTTCACGCCAAGGTGTGCCGAAAGTCGTGCGTCGTGGAATTCGCCGAGAAGACGAGTCCGTAAGATGCGATCTTGGGGCACAACTAACAAGTCCTTTCCTCTCGTGTGAAGGAGAAGGACCCGTCGAAAATCCGATAGTCGCTAGCCGGAGGGTGATCCGATGAGAGCTCTGCATATAGCGTAGAGTAAGTCGGATCGGACTTCTAACCTTTGACGAAATGCGGCTGCAGAGCGTCATCGAGGTCGAATGCCGTGGTCACAATGGCACAAAAGTCGGGCCGTCGTGAGAGGTCGTCTGCAGCTCGATTGGCCGGACCGGGAATGTGGCACGGGTCAAAATCGAACTGGTCGATGTAATACATCCATCGACCGATCGTGCTGGTGACCGTGTCCTGCGTTTTGTAAAAGGTCAACGGATTGTTGTCCGTATTCCATTTAAAACGCCGACGACCGAGAAGAAAGTGGCGCCACCGTTTGAGAACGGTGACGAACGCGAGTAGCTCTTTCTTCCTAGCGTCGTCGAGAGTGTTGACGAGAGGCACCTTTTTGGGAGAAATACTCAACCGGATGCCAACCGTCCTCGTGACACTGTTCCAACACCGCACCAATACCGTATCCCGAAGCGTCCGTAGTCACTTGGGTGGGTAGGGTGGGGTCGTATATATGGAGGGCAGGTGCAGCTTGCATTGCTGCCTTCAATGTAGTGAACGCACCACGGGTTGCGTCGTCGAACTCAAAGGGCACCTTCGGGGACTGAAGTCTCGACAAAGGAGCGGCCACTTTCGAGTATGACTCAATGAATCGCTGATAGTATGCAGCCAAACCCATGAAAGAGCGTACCTCCGTCGTACAACGGGGTTCCAACCAATCCACGATGGCTTGGATCTTGTCCGCTAAGGGACGAATGCCTTTCAGCGTAGCATAGTAGCCCAAATACTCAAGCTCTTGCTTGGCGAACTCGCACTTGTCGCGGTTCGCTTTGAACTTGGCCAGTCGCAAACGATTCAAAACAGCGCGAAGGTGTGTGATGTGCTCGTCCAACGTCCTGCTATAGACCAAGATGTCATCGAGGTAGATGAGGACGCTGCGATCGAGCAAGTCGCGAAACTCAGTCGTCATAGCTGCTTGAAAAGTTGCGGGGGCATTGGTGAGGCCAAAGGGCATGACAACCCGCTCAAAATGCCCATACAGCGTCTTGAACGCAGTCTTGTACAGATCTTGAGGCTGGATTTCAATCTGGTGGTAACCTGACTTCAAGTCCAACTTCGAGAAGTACGTCGCGCCGCCTAACCGCTCAAGGAGATCATCAATCCGAGGGAGAGGGCCGGCATTCTTTACGGTTTGTGCGTTAAGTTTGCGATAGTCGATGCATAACGGTAGATCTTTGTTCTTCTTCCGGACGAAGAGAACAAGTGCACCGTATGGCAAGCAACTAGGGCGAATCCATCCCTTGTCGAGAAGGTCATCGAGTTAAGCGCGAAGCAGCTCGAGTTCCTCTTTGCTCATGCAGTAGATACATCCACGCGGAGGGACGGCGCCAGCCTCGAGAGTGATCCCGTGACGTATGGGCCGATCCGGAACCGTTCCGGTGGGAGCCTCGAAGACGTCTCTATACTCGTCCAAGAGGTGAGAAATGTGCGGGTCCGGCGGTGACGCGGCTGGTCCGTCCGGCGAGGGGAGAGCATGCAAGAATACAAGGCCCATCTCCTCAACGTCATTCCGAGCTATGGCGTCGCGAATTCTCGCAACGGAGACCACGTGACAAGCAATCGAAGTGTGAGGGGTCGCGACCGTGCATGGGACTAACACTCCGTTCCGATCACGGATATGAACGGTTCGGTCATGGAAGTTCACCGGATGATCGGCGCTACGCAACCAAGACATGCCTAGAATCATGTCGAACTTGCTGTCGAGGATGTCAAAAGACACCGGCTCGCACGCAAGTGGCGCAAAGTATACCGGAACGCCGTCGACGCATCGGTCAATTGACTTTTGCGTGCGGCCGTCCGCGAGTGTAACTTGCGTAGGTTGTGTCTTCCTTCGAACGCGCGGGCCAAGACCTGCGCGGGCCATAAAGGCTTGGCTCATAAGTTGCGACTTTGGGTGGCATACTCGCGGTCAATCTTCGCAAGATAGGAGCGGAGATCGACAACCATTACCCCGTCGTCCATCAATGGAGCTGGTACTGTAGTGTGCAAATAGGAGCGTAGATTTGCCATCAAGGCGTTGCAATGCGGCCTTGGCAAGGTTCCGGTCGAGGGGAGAGGCATCCAAGCGAAGTCCTCTCTCGTGAGCGGGTCAAGCTCCTCAAGTCTTGACCACGCTGTCGAGTCCTCGGAAATCTGTGGCGAACTGGGCGGCATAATCCTCGTACGTAGCACGAGAATCAGCGACTAACGCATTCTCCTCGGTAGTGACATCGATTGCTAGCAAGGCAACCGGTTCCGGCGGAGTGAGGAGAGACGTCGCCCCTCTCCTTGCGTAACTCAGTTTCCCGAGTTTGCTGGACGGGATACGCGTGTCTTGCCCTTTTCGGGGCATTGTGCGGTCAAATGCATGATGCGTTGCACCAAAGGCAGTATCCGTACTTTTGACGAAGGTCATAGACATCCTTGGTTATCTTGTAAGTCGTCCATGGCTGCGGCCCAGTTCCCGTCGATGCTGTCTCTTGTGTCGCCTTGTTCTTCCGAGCTCTCTTGGGACGCTTCGGCGGGAGTGCTGCTACAATTCCTCCATCACTCAAGGATGCTGCTGCAGCGTGGAGATCGACTGTTTCTTCAGAAATCACGGCATTGTTGTGTGTCGGTCGTTGATAGCCCTGCTTAGCCATAATGCGGCTGGGACTGCCGCTCGTTTGCGGCCTTGTCATCCGTTTGGATGACTAAGTTCGCCCGATCCAGAATGGCCTGGAATGAATCATAATCGTACTCGTTGCCGAGTGCCGACCGCAGTCCTGCGCATGATCGCGAGAAGAACTCGGATCGCTGATTGGTAAAACTCAAATCGAAGCCTGGCGTGGTCACTATCTTCTGCCACTTAGTTGTCCAGTCTCGAGTTGGCATACTACCTTGAGAGCAGGTGTACACCTCGTTCATGGCTGCCTTCACGACGTTGCGAACCATGAACCGGGTGAGCCATAGCTTCTCGAACTCCGTCCACGGAATGTGCGTGTGGAGTTCGGCRATGGTGCATTTCTTGGTAGCCGCCAGATGATTCATCCATGCCTGCGCTYCSYCGATCAGTTGTAAGTARAGCGCCTTCATCATGTCGTCCGCCGGGACAGTGCGGCATGATGCTTCCGTGAGGAAACGTTGCCACCATGTCAAGGCGTCCGACTTGTTGTAGTCGTCGAACTTGCTGATGTCGAAGTGCGGCATCTTGTAAGTCTTCGTAGCGGCGTCCGGTCTCGTCTGCAGCTTGGTGATGTCCGTCTTGATGGCGGCCACCGTGCTGCTGATTGTGGCCGGGCTAGTGAAATCGCCTATATCGCCGATGATAGTGACAACGTGATCGATGCGCTCGTTGAGCTGTCCGTCGTGCAGCCTGGCGCTGCTGAGGCACTAGCCTCAATGTTGTTGATGCGTGCGAGAGCGGAGTTCAACAGCTGTTGCTGTTGCTGTTGCTGTGAAGCTTCGACGCGGATGGCAGCTGTTAAAACAGCAATGTCTTGTTGGTACTTCTGTCTTTGCTGTTGTTCCGTGCGCAGATGTGCTTGCAGCAGTGTGCTATTCCACATGATTCCTCTCATCATACCCAGCATCAAGTTAGCCAGGTGAGTCTTCTCTGCCTCCGCCGGTGTCGGATCTGCCTGCGCGTCCGAAGGCACAAAGATCATGCCTTGGAGGAACATTGTCCACTGATTCTCACTATGAATCAGGGACTCCGTGCTGCTGGCATTCCGTTGGTCTCGTGCTGCTGCGTCAGCCTCAGCAGTGTGCTGAGCTTGGGCTGCCGCCTCATTGGCCAGCCGCTGACATTCCGCTTCTGCTGCCTCCTCCTGTGCCTTTGCGGTAGCTACGGCATCTGTGAATGCCTGTACCCGCTGAAGGTAAGCCGCCAACGGCTCACCGGCCCCTTGGACCGGGCATGCGGGAAGAACCCCGGTGCTAACCGGTACTGTCATTGCTGCACTTGATGCTGCTGGAGTCTTCCGCTTGCTGAGTCGCTGCTTGGGTCTTGGAGGTACCACAGGTCGGGCACGAACTGCAA